TGGTGATATTAAAGTCCTGTTTGTGGCACATTAGTGTATGTTAGGGGGCAAACTAACATACACTAGCATGTTTGATCCACCACTTGAATATGCATCATAATCTTCTCCCTGGTCACATGGTGAGATATCCATGAGACGCCTTTTCTTTAGTTTCATCCTAAAAAAGAAAACGAAAATAGTTATATTACAGGAGTTCTAAACAAAATGTGTTGTGCTAGGTGTTTTTAAATCAAAAGCGGAAAAACTTGCCTCTTTGTGAACATGAGCCCACAACTGTTTCCTCCTCATAAAATTTTCCCTGGAAGCAGGTCCCTTAAATCATCCCTACTGAGGGTGTGGAGCAACACCTCATCTATGTTGGCAGCTGTAAATAAAAGTCAGTAACTGTCAGAAATATAAAAGTTGTACATCTCTTTAAATGTATACATTTCACTGTTAAAAAAAGGAAACTATTCCAAATGGTCATTTTGTCAAATACATTTAAATGTAATTAAATATATTATTGATCTGACAACATAAAACTGATTCTATGTAGGATCACTGTCAGTGTGTGCAACACAAAATTCATTTAGACATTAATTTGCATAAATATGCATATGCTTGGCCTACCTTTCAGAACCGACAGGCTGCAATTATCCAAACCCTCCATGTTTTTCTGGTGTAGCTTTTGTCAGAACTTTCCCCTGAGGAGAACTAAAACTAATAGTGCCCAACTGCTTGTCAAATCATTCAACAAATGATCAAAACTCAGATTAGGCCACTTCATCCAAAAAAAACCTGCTACCTCAGTTCAGCAAGGTTAAAGTGACCTGATTTATATTAATAGTTTACAACATAAATAATTCGAAGTAAGTTCACATCTCCAACTTAAAATAGTTTTTATGATTAATCATAATCTGTCGGAAATGAAGCTTAAAGTAAATCTATAGGTAAAGATGTCGTTCATGAATGTGCATTATTTTATTCCCTTGTGTTATCTTTAATTTCATCACCCAAACTGGACTTGCAAATAAAATTTGAATAAATTCATGTTGGTTAAATGTAATTTTGGTCATAAAACCGTTAACTCTTGATGACTTAAGTAAATCCTCATTTAATTTAAATATAGATCTGTCCAACACCCCTGTCTTTTTCCATAACAAAAAAAAATTTAAGCAGCAGAGAACTCTGGATGTAAGCCGACAGTCAAAGGAGCTTGCAAAGAAAAGCGTCTGGACTTTAAGTTGCTTGAAGACGTTTCACCTCTCATCCGAGAAGCTTCTTCAGTTCTAAGGTCAAATGGTGAAGAGTCCCAGATATAAATCTAGTGGGAGTTTCCCCCCACAGAGGGACAAAAGGACCCCTGAAGAATCCTCTAATCGCCTGAGCCAAGGTGTGAAACTGGGTGTGGGTCACAATCAGCCAGAGTTTCGGGTGTGTTCATTGTGAAACCTGGCCCCACCTTATCATGTGATGTCCTGAGGTCAGATGGCCCAGGATGTGAGTGGGCGTTAAGGCGTCTGGGAAGGATCTCAAAACTGGATTATAGATGGCAGACAGTTGGTGTCGTAAACCCCGCCTCTGTTCAAAGATGGTCGCTCACAGTGGACATGGATGCTTCTTTCACTCCTCTTTCAAACCATCTGTCCTCTCTGTCCAAAATGTGAACATTGGCATCCTCGAAAGAGTGTCCTTTATCCTTAAGATGCAGATGGACTGCTGAGTCTTGTCCTGTGGAGGTGGCTCTTCTATGTTGTGCCATGCGCTGGTGAAGTGGCTGTTTGGTCTCTCCGATGTAGGTAGAGGATCATCAGGGGGTCCTTTTGTCCCTCTTTGGGGGGAAACTCCCACTGGGTTTAAATCTGGGACTCCCCACTATTTGACCGTAGAACTGAAGAAGCTTGTTGGATGAGAGGTGAAACGTCTTCAAGCAACTTAAAGAAGTCCAGACGCTTTTCTTTCCAAGCTTCTTAGACTACAATGACCTGGATTACTGAGAACCTTCACAGGCTTTATGCCCTGTGCTTATCTTCAAAGTCATGCTGCTCTGTTGTATGTTAATTGCCCCTTGGGGATAAATAAAGTTTTTCTGATTCTGACTCTGTATCATTGATGTCAAGATTATATGATGTAAAGGTGGTTTCATCATAGTTGCTGTGATCTGAACATGTATGAAGAGACTTCAAGGCGTGAGGTGAACACCTGTGCACACACACACACACACACAGGAGTGGCGCACGGTGCTGCCTCCCGTTGGGACGGCACAGCAGAGAAGTGCTGTGGCTGTTTGGGTCGGGAGGAAGACTAGTGTCCTCTGCTGCTGCTTCTTCACACAGATCTTGTGAAGAAGAGTCACGCTGAGAGGAAACAATTTGTCTATGATGCTCCACCTACTTACACGTGAAATACTCGGTGGCTAAGTATCAGACTTCAGAATATGTGATGCACGCTCGCTTACAGTGTCTCCATTTGCTGCCCGTAGCTTTGAGGCACCGTTAGCCAACATGCTAACAGAGCGGCGGCAGACGGTCAGAAAGCAGTACGAAGCTCAGCAGCAGCGGAGAGCCTTGCAGGACACGACCAATCACCTCTCCTCAACTCTGAAGGACACACCCACCCAACCTCACAATACCATTGCTTCTGTCTTAGTGCTGCCGCGTCGCATTGGCCCCTCCCTCCAACTGGACCACACCCAGAAACTGCAGCTACAGCACCAGCTGCAGCAGGTATGGAAGGTCACCTGTCTCACCCACTTATTCTCCAGGTGTGTTTGCCTGATATCATGTGACCCTTTCTCTCCTAGCATGTGCAACTGCTGACACAGGTTCACCTGCTGAGTCGCCACATTGCTGCCCTGAATCATGAAGCCTCCATCACCAAACGCTACCTGGTCAGTAAACACTTCTCAATTTATACCTACAATAGCTGAACAGGGCAAGTGGGCACTTACCTGGTGGGCGTTTCCTCAGCTCTTGAACTTATTACTTGTTATTAATCTCTGTCTCTATTCCACGGCATGTCTTTATCCTGTCTTCCTTCTCTCACCCCCAATCGGTCACAGTAAATGGCCCCGCCCCTATCTGAGCCTGGTTCTGCCGGAGGCTTCTTTCTGTCAAAGGGGAGTTTTTCCTTCCCACTGTCGCCAAAGTTCTTGCTCATAGGGGGTCATATGTTGGGGTTTTTTCTCTATTATTGTATGGTCTACCTTACAGTTGCGGCTGGGTGTCGTTACTGATTTCTACTGATTTTCTATTCGATTCAGACTCAGTCTGAAATATTATAACTCTGATCATCTATCAGCACATATCCATATTTTGTATCTATAAAACAAAGCTGACACTGTGAGACTTCATCAGAGGTGTGACCATCACAGCAGACGTCTTTGTGTCTGAAGCAGGTGTTCCTGTCCTGGCTTTTTATAGCAGAGAACCTTAAAAATATTCTGCAGTCGATCAAAAACTGAAGAAAACCATGAATCAACATGTGAACATGACCTGATGCTGCTGGAGTGAAGCAGAGTCAGAGGTTTGATTACAGACACAGCTGAGCAATCATTGAAGTCTAAATGTCTTCAGTTTAAACAGCAGAAATGAGGCTTTGCTGTCAGAGGACGACAGCACCGAGCACAGTAGCAGAGCGTGATAAGCAGAGAATAATGCAGAAAACAGAGATTTGATGGTAAACTGGTCTCTGAGTGGACTGAGGGAGAGAGAGCTGTGTGGGGAGTGAAACAGCCAAAGTCAGAGAGAATCCATGACGATGTTTCTCAAACGTGAAGTTTGAGCTTCTTTGGCTGCTGGTTCAGTCAGTTTTGGTCAGAGAGACGAAACCTGCAGAATCTGTGTATTTCAGCCCCAACGGCGCGTCTGTGGACGATCCACGCTCTGTGTTTCTGCTCTCATGTCCTGTTTGAGCTGATTCTGGAATTTGTGATAAAATACATTTATATTTAACAATCGAATCAGGATTTTAAAGAATCGAGATCGCTTTATTCAGACTAAAATAGATTTGAATCAGGAAATTCATTATTTTTTTAAACCCAGCCCTTACAGTTTAAAGCGCCTTGAGGCGACTTGTTGCTGTGTGAATAAGATGAAACTGAACCAGCACTAATGAGCACCTCCACTATCAGGAGGAGCTGCAGCACTTCGCACATCATCAGGAGCAAGGCTGCGCCTTCAGCTGTTTCAGGGCATGTAACCTGCAGGGTGCACTGGACCTCCTGCACGAGGTGGAGCAGAGGGACGAGCCTCCACCTGCTCCTCCCACTCGAGCCTCCAGACGCTGGCTCCCCCAGATGACCCCTGCAACCAACAGTAAGGGCAAGCTACCTGTCAGCCATGTTTGATGCACCAAACAGATCCAGGTTCAGATTCTTGTTCTGGTTCTGTTTAGGTCTTGCCTTCCCTCTGCTGCCTGCCGACACCGCCTGGCTGTTCGCCACACGACCCGTGTTCCTATACCCAGAACTACTTCCTGTCTGTAGCCTAGACCCCGCCCTCCACAGCAGGAACCTGAGAACATTATACACGCCAGGAGAGGATTGGTAAAACACACACACTTCCTACATTTTATTTTTTCACATGCACTTTGTGTAAATTTATGGCTTCTGTTCTTCATTGAACTCAGTAAAAACATATTTCCCATCATGCCTCTGTGCAGTCTCATCGTTCTCGGCCTGAAACACTTTGAGGGAGCATTTCAGTCCGACGAGCTTATCAGTTCATACCTGCTCTGTAAGAGTCGATGGAACTTCAGGAAGCACGTCAGAGAGATGAGCAGCCCAAGAGCACCTGACAATGTCATCAAGGTGACATCAGAGTGACCTCACTATGCACCGTGTGACATCATTAGCGAACGTTACATTTCAAATGAATGACTCGGGGCCCAACTTTGTGGTTCTTTTCAGACATTTGTGACGAAGGGCGTCGTCCCGCCGCTGCCACTCGCCTGCAGCAGAGTCCAGCAGGAAGACCAGCGCCCCCCGGTGGACAGAGATGGTGAAAACATGCCAAACTGGCTCAAGGTTTGAACAGCAAATCCCGATCGTGATCCAGATTCACACCTATAATAGAATATAATAGAATTCCCCTTTATTGTGTGGCTCTGTCTACATCCATTCAGACCCAGGTACAAATCTGCTGGGAGCAAAATTTGCCGGTTTAGTTTTTGAAAGGACCAGTTTGAACCTGCTAGCCAATTCCAATCTAAAGTTTTTCTTTAAGCGTGACCTGTTGATTCAGATTTTGTGTCTCAGAACTATAACAAAAAGAAACTTTGTGTAGTTTCATGCGCTGCTATACGAGTATTGCTCAAACATCATAATCTGAGGCACAGATTGTTATCCCATTATTCTCGTCTGCAGAACAGTCGCCCAAGCATCCAGAAGACCCGCTCAGATGCCCGTTACCCCTCCTGGCTTCCTCCAGGCTGCACTCTCAGGCTCCACCCCAATTATATCAACAGGTACCGCCCCCGCCCCCGCACCCACAGGCGCGTCTTCGCATTGGCTCATAATGAATCTCTGCTGCCACTCGCCAAAGCACAGGAGGATCTGCCGGTGGAGCCACACGGAGAGAAACAGGTGGACATGCGCTTTTTACCTGTTTCAGGCGTCACGTTATTTTCTGCCCCCACTGCTGTGTCAGGAGCCCTACCATTGGCACCAGCTTCTATCTCTGGAGCGGTCCCACTGACTGCTGCTCATCCAGGCCCCGCCCACCCCGTGTGTGCCAAGGTGATGCAGTCCTGCCTTCCTATTGGCCAAAATACACCACATACCGTGTCTGCACAGGAGAGCCCCACCCCCTCGACACTTCTACTGCCCATTCCCTCTCTCACAAGTCCTAGCACTACAAACACACTGAAGCCGGGCTGCCTCCTCCTCCAGATGGTGTGGACTCCCCCAGCTCCTCCCACCTCCCCCCAAAATGTTTTGGAGCATCACATCCACGGGCCAATCAATGGGCAGCAGGAAGAGGTCTTTTCTAAGCAGGAAAAGCTAAAGCAGGAAGAGGAGAGCATGGTCTTGGTATCAACACTCAGCCTGACGTCATGTACAGGAGATGTGGAAGAAGAGGAGAGGCGGGAGGAGCAGAGACAGGAACAGGAGGAAAAGGCAATTGTTATTGGTGTCAGTTTGAATGGAGGAGAAAACAATGGTCAGGAGCAGGAGCAGTGGGGACGGGGAGGAGAGGGGGGAGAAGGAGGCGAAGCAGGTGAGAATGAGCAGGGTGGAGAGGAAGAGGAAGGGAGACAGAGGGAGGAGAGGAGTGGAGCGAGAGACGACAGTGGAGGGAAGGATAAGGACGAAGATCAGGACCGGCATGGAGATGATGATGATGATGAGGACTTTGATGACCTCACACAGGATGAAGATGAGGAAGAAGTGATGTCATCAGCATCAGAGGAGTCTGTTCTGTCGGTTCCAGAGTTACAGGTAGATAGAAAGTCTACCTTAAAAGTTTCCACCTTTTGCGATTTAGTGGTGTTGTTTATGCTCATTAATGGCTACGTACCGCAGGCCTTCATGTTGGCAGTAATTAAACCGCTACTCACGCTAAATCACAGCAACAGTCACCTTAAGGCGCTTATTATCGTAAGGTAGACCCTACAATCGTACTTGTTATTAATCTCTGTCTCTCTTCCACAGCATGTCTTTATCCTGTCTTCCTTCTCTCACCCCAACCAATCACAGCAGATGTCCCCGCCCCTCCCTGAGCCTGGTTCTGCTGGAGGTTTCTTCCTGTTAAAAGGGAGTTTTTCCTTCCCACTGTCGCCAAAGGGATGATCTGATATCCTCGTGCTGGTGTTGTTCCCAGACCATCATGAAAATGTTGTTCCAGGTTCAACATTGCAAGTGACCAATCACATTGTTGTGACGTTATTCCTTTGCGCGCCAAGCCATTCGTGCATTTATGAAATTCCAATGTTGCAAGGACAATATCAATTCTGCTTACTGTTTATTAAAGGGTTAGGGTTAGGGTCAGGGTCCGTTGATCGGCGGACAGAGGCGGTTTCACGCAGCTTAAGTACAGTTTTTTGTTTTACGCCGGTTTTTCGTGTGGTGGGGCGGCCGTGGCTCAGGGGGTTTGGAATCGCATCTGTAACCGGAAGGTCGCCGGTTCGATCCCTGGGCTCTCTGTCCTGGTCGTTGTGTCCTTGGGCAAGACACTTTACCCTACTTGCCTACTGGTGCTGGCCAGAGGGGCCGATGGCGCGATATGGCAGCCTCGCTTCTGTCAGTCTGCCCCAGGGCAGCTGTGGCTACACCTGTAGCTGCCTCCACCAGTGTGTGAATGTGAGAGTGAATGAATAGTGGTATTGTAAAGCGCTTTGGGTGCCTAGAAAAGCGCTATATAAATCCAATCCATTATTATTATTATTATTTTCCCGAAGTCGCAAAGGTATGACGTCACAACATTCTGATTGGTCACTTGCAATGTTGATCCTGGAACAAATTTAGTATGATGATCTGGGAACAACACCAACACGAGGATATCAGATCAACCGTCGCCAAAGTGCTTGCTCACAGGGGGTCATATGATTGTTGGGTTTTCTCTGTATGTATTATTGTAGGGTCTACCTTACAATATAAAGCACCTTGAGGCAGCTGTTGTTGTGATTTGGTGATGTTTAAATAAAAGTGAAACGGGTTTTATTGCCGGCCTCCTCATTGGTCAGAAGTTGTCTCTGATCATGTATTTTTACTCCGACACAGAGAGAAAAGTTCAGGTTTGAGGAAACAAAGACTAAAGATTTTCTCATGTTTTTGTGTCTGAGGCAGAAACTGAAGCTGAATAGAAAACATTTTTTTAAATTTCTTTCCTTTCAGTAGAAGCTCATCAGCACAAACAGCTGCTGAAATGATAGACAGAGACTTTATTGATCCTAAAATGGACATTTGTGTTACAGCCAGTGTTGGGCAAGTTACTTTGAAAAAGTAATTAGTTATAGTTACTAGTTAATTCTTCAAAAAAGTAACTGAGTTACAATATTCTAAAAGTAAATTTATTACTTGAAAAGTAACTATTGCGTTACTTTAAAAAACGTTTAACCCTCTGGGGTCCAGGGTGTAATTGACCATTTTTAACTACTTTTGATTTTCCCTCCACATTTCACCTTTAAAAACTATTTACTTTGTTTGGTATCGTCCTTTTCAGCACAACCTCACGTCTCTGAATTTACAGTTATGTTTTCATTTTGACTACTGTATTAACACAATTGATCTAAAATCAGACAAAAAATATAAAATCAGAGTAGAAAAAGTGATATTTTCACTGTAACAACCACAAACATGTTTAATGAATCATATTTCATAACTTTAAATGCAAATATAAATTGCCAATTTTAAAATCCTATGCACAAGTTTTGCAAACAAAGTTATTTGCAGCCATTTACCTTTTACCTTGATTTTTTAAATAACCATTTCAAACTATTTAGAGAACAATCAGCTGTTCTTCAGTAAGATGCCACACAAATTATTTGTGCCTCTCCAAAAAAATAATTTCTGTCCACTATGAAGGAGAACATCACAGCCTGATACCTGCAGGTCTGACAGCAGCAGGTGTGTCACTCCTGTTTCTACCTGGAGACAGCAGTCGCCTCATTGTTCTGACACACAACACAAAACTATCCACAACACTACACACTAACTACACAAGACAACACATTAACTACACACTGCAAACACGCTAAACTCTCACATCTCAAAACTCGCTCTCTCTCTTTTTCTGCTCTCTCGCCATCACTCCTAAAACTCCCTGTTTGTTTTTTTTTTGTTTGTTTGTTTTTTTGCTCATAAGCAGAGAGCGCTCGCTGCGCTGTCCTTAGACAGTAAACGTGACGAAACTATTGAGGGAAAAACACGCGTATATATTGTTTATCATGACTCCGGTTTTACGTGACCTATCAACACAGTTTATAAACTGGTATATGTCACCTTGTTGCTTTGTCTTTAAGTGGTCATGTGATTGGCTTACCACGACTCCTTTATTCTTCCTCAGTCAAACAGCAGCACTCATGTGATTGTTTTGCCCCCTGAGCTCCAGGTGTTGTGCCAGAAAGTGATCGTCGGGCAGAAAGTGATTACCGTCCGTGGGAGCGCGCAGCTGCTTAAAGCTGTAGCGTCCACATTACTTACAGCTACTTCCGTGCAGCTGATATAAGATGCGGTAAGCTGAACACAGCTTCAACCATCTGTTTGTTGACAAATAGTAACGGACTGCGCCGCATTTTCTTGTTAGTAACTGTAACGGTGTTGTAGCGATAGGAATAGTAATTAGTTAGATTACTCATCACTGAAAAAAGTAACGCTGTTAGTAACACCGTTACTTGTAACGCCATTATAACCATCACTGGTTACAACAGCATGATCAAGTTTAAGTAAGAGTAGGATGATGCTCAGTGGGTTTGAGAACGGTGTTTCTGAGAAAAACCTCACCAAACCCTTGGCTGGGTTTGAATCCAGAGGACACAGTCTGAAGAAACATGAACGTTAATGAAGACCAGTTTGGTCTTTAAAGTAAACCAAAACAAACTGAAGGACAGACGTCTTCAGGGAGACGTTTGTGAATGATTGGTATTCACTGATTTAGATATCGGTAACTCTCGGCAGTGAAATCTGTTTTCACGAGGAGGCGTTTGGATTTGTTTAAAAATATTAAAAGCACGGCTGAAAAGAAAAGTTATGCTGATGAGGTGCCGAGGGTTTGGATAATCTCTGACCTTTGACCTTTAGGAGACAATGAAGCAGCTGACGTGGCTTGCGGCGGAGCAGCGGCTCTGTACAGATGGCGACTCAGAGGAGGAGCACTCTCCCACCTCTCCTGGGTCGCAGGAGGAGGAAGAGGAAGAGGAGGAGGGGCCAAAAGGAGAGGACTCAGGGGAGGGGCGGAGCAAAAAAGTGGGTTTAGATGAGGAGACGCCGTCCAGAGAGCGGACGCCTGGAGGAGTAGGGGGGCGATGTCCCGGACGAGGACGAGGTGGGTCTGCGTCTGAACACCGTTTAAAACACTCGCCATCTGTGACCGAATACTTCGTGTTTCTTATTTTCTGTCATCTCTGCAGGCCGAAGCCAACCTCATCGTGGCCTCAGGAGGAGCCGTCAGGAGCGCCACAGCAAAGATGGCGCCAAACTGCTGCTGCTGTATGACGAAAACATCCTGGACAACGACCCGCACAGAGAGAGCAAAGACATGGCGTTCGCACAGAGTTACCTCAGCAGGGTGAGCAATGGATGTTAAATCGTCCCGCTGTTTGCTGAGCTCCCATCTTTGCACACGTGGTCTCTCCAGACGCTGACATCATCGCCTCCGAACCTCCTTTCAGTTTCCTGCGTTTCTTGTGATAAATGAGAAAACGTTCGTGGCTGCTCCTCCAGCAGGATTGGTCAGATTTTAGTGAATGATCACTTGATAGGTCTCCACCCACCCGTCCACCATGTGGGAGGTAGAGCAGGTCAACTACTGATTGGAACGTTGGTGGATCGCTGGCTCCTCCAGTCTGCATGCCAAATATCCTTGTGCAAGATATGGATGTTCTCCGATGCATCTGTCGGAGTGTGAATGTCGTTAGAAAAGCACTCAGTTTAGAGTCAGTGCCTATCAGAATGTGAATGTGTTGTATAGAGCGCTTTGAGTACTCCAGGAGAGTAGAAAAGCGCTATATAAGAATCAGTCAATTTACCACACACTATGCTCGTGGTCATGTTTGTGGTTTCACCTGTGAATCATCACCTGGATGAGAACGTCATTGATGTTCAGCTGCTTTTGCTTCGGCACATAAACGGTGCAACGTGTCCGGTCTTCCCTTCGGGCTCTTTGGTTCGTGTTTGCATGGATTATTGTTAGCATTGTAATCTCTGAGGATCATAAACAACAGCATCGTTAATGACTCCCGCATCGCGTCTCCCGGGATTTGTGTCTAGCTTTCGTTGTTCTGCGTGTTAGAAGGAGCTAGGAGGAGTGACCACAGCAGCACGACGTCTGTGGGTGAATGAGAGGGAAAGATTGATGGGGCAATGTAAGTGGAATCTGTAGTGCCGCCACACGGACACTGGAGGGCAGTAAAAGTAAGATAAGATAACCTTTATTAGTCCCACACCTAGGAAATTTTTTTGTTACAGCAGAAAGTGGACAGTGCAAAGTTACATAGAAAAATTAGAAAAACTGTGGAATAAGATACCTAAAATATAGGTGGTGGAGTTGGTGTTTCCTTTAATCGCTTGGATGGCGTAAAAAAAAAAGAAGTGACATTTGATTTTACTGGCGTGGCGTGGCGCTCGTTCAAGTTCGTACAGTCTGTACGAGGGGGCCGGTCTTCACTTTGTTTGTTTTTATGGCAACAGTAATCACCATCTCTCCTTAGAAAATGTGGGCTCATGATGTTCCTCCTGTGTGTCGACAGGTGCGTGAGGCACTGCATGATGTACCTGAGCAGGTGGAGGAGTTTGTGTCTCTGCTGAGTGAGTTTGAGCAGGTGGGAGATGGACAGGAAGTGATGCAGCTGTTCAGGAAACTGCGCTGCATCCTGGGAAACCGGACAGACCTCCTCCAAGACTTCGCCGCTTTTCTGCATCCTGACCAGGCGCTGCTGTGTGGACTGGTGAGCAGCTCGTGTGGTTTTTATCATTGGAGTTAAACTCGCTGGTTTTTCTGTTGATGACAGCCCAAGGTGTTCTGTATCAACTCTGGTAAAAAAAATTTTTAAAAAAAATCCACGCTTCTTACTGATGTCCACAATTCCTTTTTTATTTCCTCTCACAATCATGGAGCACCATGAAAACTAGAAGCAAGTAAAATAATACCATTGGCACATACAACATCTGTTTCAGACACTTGTGTCTTTTAACAAAGTGCACAAGTGCTTAACAATTTATTAATAATAATAATAATGGATTGGATTTATATAGCGCTTTTCAAGGCACCCAAAGCGCTTTACAATGCCACTATTCATTCATTTAACAAGCATAATTTTACCGTGTACGCTTTGTAAACCAGCAGTAGAAAAGTTGAAGAGCCCTAAAAGTCAGTCTTGTCTCTGCCGCTCACAACTTGTTGTTCTTGTGACTCCGGAGGAGGTGACTACTCCACAATCATGTTCACAGAAACTTTCTTTTGTAAGAAAAAATGTATCACTGGACTCAAAGATGATCCTTTTCCACTGTAAGTGTACACAAACATGAATACTAAATAAAGCAAAACAATATAACGATCTCAGGCGCTGGCTTCTGGTGTTGTCATGGCAACCCACACAATTGCATTTCAGCATCAGCTACATGTTCATTAAGTTTCCTCATAAAGGCTCCAAGTGATGAATTCAAAATGTGTTTTTACAAATCTCTAATCCCTAAAGCTCCGACTAAAGTTAAAGTCAGCCTCAGCCAATCACAGAGCCCCTCATGTGAGAACCTGTTAGGAGGCTGAAGAGTTTCATAATGAGAGGAGAGAACAACTGAAGGATGACGCTCCTTTTATCTCCATGTTCACAAAGGGCAGAGTTTCTTTAGAGTATCATTGATCACAGGGCTTAAATCTGGGACTCTCCACATTTGACTCTTAGAACTGAAGAAGCTTCTCGGATGAGAGGTGAAATGTCTTCAAGCAACTTAAAGAAGTCCATACGCTTTTCTTTCCAAGCTCCTTAGACAAGAATCATCAATCGTTTTCTTTTTTTAAGGTGCGCTGATTGATTTAGCTCATACAGCGAAGCATTCAATCAATCAATCAATCAATCTTTATTTATAAAGCACTTTTCATACAAAGAAAATGTAGCACAAAGTGCTTTACATAGTTAAAAGCAGCCCACCCCACCCTCCAACTCACTCCCCACACTCTCAATACACATATATCCCCCC